TGAAGATGTTGAAGAGCACTGGGCCCAGAACAGAGCCTTGGGGCACCCCACTACACACTTCCCTCCATGTAGATGTGGTTCCATTGAGGACCACTCGCTGAGTACGGCCGGTCAGCCAGCTACGGATCCATCTGGTGGTGATGCTGTCTACCCCACATTTTTCTATCTTGTCAAGTAGTAGGTTGTGATGTACTTTATCTAAAAAAATCTTTAGTTCTTCAAATGCCATCATTCAAATATAAGCTATATAGGTACAGTATGTGATTGGAACTGGAAACTGTAATTTAAGTTTTGAGACTATTGCTTTATATTTTTTAGCCCTGACAAATGATATTACTTTCTTACAGTTCAGAAAATGAAAATGGAACAGAAGAAAAGAAGAAATCTGGAAAACCAGGCTTTGGGGTGCCACAAATATCATTTAATGAGGCCGACTATTTTGAAGACCAGAAAAAAGTTGCAATTGCACGGTAATGAACTAGATTCATCTGGAATCAACTAGATGGAATGTTAATGGTTAAATCTCTATTAAAGAAAAATGACAACATATTTTGTGAATGTTGGAGACATTTGAATTCATCCACATAAGTTTATATTGGATAAACTTTGAACCAATTTCTCACTCTTCTGTAAGACCTGGTTTTCTCTTTTGTATCAGTCTCTCCCAGTGGCTGGCTTCCCAGCCCAATAGGGAGGGTGCGAGAACATCTGTGCAAGCCCAACCACCACATCTCTGTGTGTGCCTGACTAATTTGAAGATGCCAAGCACTGCCTTTGAAAGTGCAAAAGGGCTGGAAGTACTGTAAGCTAATCTGGGTGCAATTACACATTTCTCCTAATTGTTCACAGGTTCTTGCTCTTCTTGTTTCTAGAACATCTGGTTTTAATTCTTTGAATGACATATATTTGGAATGGTGAATAGTCCTGTATAGAAGTGCATGGATTCCTCTTCTCTTTCTTAGAGCAGCAAAACTAACATTACTGTTGGAAAATGAAATGATGCCATTTGAAACTTGAAAGAAATGTTGGGATTTTGCTGGTTTCCCAAATAATAATTCTGCAGAAAAATTACATGAAGAGAGCAATTCCCAAGTCTCAGAGGCTAAGTAGCACATTTTGAGAGCTTGACATGGGCTCGCTCACAAAATGGCTGCATGGAGCTCTACTGTAATAGCCCCTTATCCTTTTTTATTTTCTAAGAATGCCTCTGGATCTACAATCAACTTCAAGAGCATTTTTGGAAATAAAGATGATGCAACATTTTTCAACCTTAAAGCAACTATAAAATTTAAGTCAGATGAGACATGGAGCTTGGTGAGAGCCAAGAGGGGAATCTGTAGCCACTCTTGTATTCATAATTTAGATCTCAGTAGATATGTGCAATTTCTTCACTTTGTTCTATCATAAACTGATTCAAGATTCCCTGCTGGTCCAATTCAATAACAAACATTTGCCCATACTGCATTTTTCTTATTGCATATATGAACACATTATGCATTCCATTAAGTATTTGTCTTGTATTTTGTTTGCCCATATATTACAATGCAGTTTATATTTCCTTCCTTTTTCCTATCTTTTGGTATATCCCTATAATTATCCCTTGGAGACTGATGTGTAATTTTTTTCTTCTCTGTTTGACATAAGTACCCAGCTGTGCTTTGGGGCAGAATTGAAGTTTTTGCCATTGTAAAAACTTGAAAAGATGGGACTATTCTCCACTAATTAGAGGTTAGGAAAGGATTTAGTCAAATGAAATGAGAAGAATGTTGCCTGTGAGAAGAGTGGACTCTTCAGTCACATTCTTGGCTGTGTCAAAATGTTCAGTCTCCTTAAGATACTGCACAGTATTAGGCTTGTGCAAAACTTCAAAGAGGTGCTTTGCTGTGTTGAAGAATCATACAAAGCACACCCCTTCAAAGTAGTGGGCTCTCCTCACTTGTGAAAGCAAAGAGATGGAGTTGCTTCACTTCTGCTGCTCCAAAGTCTCTTTGACAACCTTTTGTGACTCTTCCGGTAGACAGAAAATCTTTGTGACTGAACAGTACCCTGAAGGCTGTAAGATGATGCAGAACACTTCAAAAGAAAAGGAAAATGTGTCATTACTGCACATTAACAAGTTAAATTGTGTTGGTCTATAATGCACATTACTTTGTTGAGGCAAATTTGAATACTCACATTTTCTTAACCTCCAAAAATGTGACATTTAGCTCCCAGAATTTTCAGTAATGGCCAAGTTGGAGCGGGAACTCAAGGAACTGAAGTCCAGATAGGAAATAGCAATAGCACTTAGGCTTATATACCACTTCATAGTATATGAAGTACACTATGTATCAGTGGTGGGATTCAAATATGTGAACAACTGATTCTCTGTGTGGATGCTACTTCCAGAAGTCCATTCTGGGCCTGGGCCACAAAAAATTAGCTACAGGTTCTGCCAAACTGGTGCAAACTGGCTGAACCCCGCCACTGTTATGTATACATAATATAAACCGCTCTCTAAGCAGTTTACAGAGTCAGCATATTGTCCCCAACAATCTGGGTCCTCATTTTACTGACCTCAGAAGGATGGAAGGCTGAGTCAACCTTGAGCCGGTCAGGATTCCTGGACTGAGCAGTGAGTTAGCTTGCAATACTGCATTCTAATCACTGAACTACCATGGCTCTATGCTGCTATAGGCATCATTATACTATCATATGGACCTTTTACAATGTGTGAGATACATGACTGAATAGTCAGATCTGTGATAATAAGCATCCAGTTTAAGGTCCAGGTAGTCCTCGATTTACAACCTCATTTGGGACCAGAATTTCCATCGTAAGCCATTATGGTTGTAAATTGAGTGGTCCAATTTTATGACAATTTTTTCAGTGGTGGTGAAGTCTCTGATCCTATACAACCAGAGAAGGCTGTAGAGCACGGGTGTCAAACTCAATTGTGCCATGTGACATATCGTGACGTATCGCAACATTTTTGCCTGTGTAGAGCTGGGGTGGACGTGGCCTGCACATGATGCATCTGGCCCACGGGCCACCAGTTTGACACCCCTGCTGTAGAGCATTGAAGTAGCAAAGCCATGAAAGTCTGTCTCTTCACAATCAGAAGCAAGAAATCCACATTGTTTCATAAGTATCTTTAAGGGCATGCTTTACTCAGAAATTCATTCAACTTGGCTGAATCTTTTAATATGAAAAAATCCATTTTTTATGAAATGAGAATAATGTAATGGGATTTCCTTTAGGTCAAAGACAATTGTGGATAATAGTTTCTTGACGTTAGATGGCAAGAACGACTCAAAAGCTGAAAGGAAGAAGCATACCTCAAACCAGGTACTGAGAAATACTAATCTGTTTGATATGTGAAATGTTGAAGACCCTGGCTATGACAGAACAACAAAAGTACTGTACAACATCAGGCTGGAATAGTACATTGGTGTTGAAATACCACTTTTTCCCATAACTCTGATTTACTAAATAAGGGACCATATTTGGAATATTTAAGAGCTGATCCTTAGAGGCATTAGATGCATAATCCTCTGAATTAGTTCACATATTAAGCTAAAGTATGTTTTGTTTAACAATTTAATCAATAGTGTGATACAAGGGTGCTAAGTATAACCTGCTTGGTCTGGTTCACATGGACCAGTTTTTAAATGCAAATCTGCCCATCCTTCCTCCTCTTCTCTCATTCTCCCTTGTGTCCCACATTCTCCACCTTGTCTTGATTCCAGGCAATAGTACACAGTGTGATGATAAATCAAGGCAGCTGTCCCCATGGTGAAAGAAAGACAGCAGCAGCTGCTGCTGCTCACTTGGCTTTTGATGGGGTGTCATTGAGCAGGCAGACTGGATATGGGAAAAGATTGTGCTATGTAAGGGAGGAGAGGAACAACTGGGCTCTTCGGCCTCCTCCTGTGCATTCCACAAGAGCTATTTCAGGGATTTGCACTGTTTTAATAGAGACCAACGTGGATCTGGTTCAGATTTTCCATGCCACCTGATAATAGCAATTATACAGTATATCCCAAGATATTTGGCTCTATGTGTTGGTGCTGTTGGAAGAAGGGTGATGAAAGATGCAGGCTGTTTTGTACTCTTACTCTTTATTAAAGTTAGGATAAAACAGGGCTCTATTTTTCATTAACAGCTGCGTTAGTATCAATGTTTGTGCTTCGGTAGCCATTAGTGCTACATGGTTTTGCATAATTAAAGTTTGTCTAGATTACGTGTGACATAGATATTGAGCACAATACAGAGAGGGATCTGTAATGCAGTATGGATAGGCTTAGCCAACACTGTTGATTTGTTTAAGAGACAACTATAGGCAGGTTGTATGTGCTTACAACCAAGAACAGGTCAAGATCTGCTGCTGTCCCATTGTTAAACTAAAATATGTTTTTGAATTAGCGTGTTGTATGAAGCCAACCAGCCATTACAGTTCATACAACGTCATATTTTTTTGTTTGTTTAAATATGTGATCCTAAGCAAGGGTAGTTTGTTAAGCAAACTATGGCTTGCAACAGTCAGACTGTTTTGATAGGAATTCAAGGAAGGGAGACCGTTGGGCACAGATGCATTCAGCATTTACCTTTCCCCAAGTAGTACCTGCTATGTAAAGAGTTGCTTATGGTATGAAACTATGGGGCCTGAGGTTTGGAGCAACCTATAGTTCTTGAAGGAAAGAATGCATTTCTACAAACATATATCAAACAAGCCTACACTACTCCTAACATGTCAGTATGCATACGATAAAGGCTCTGTTCACAATTTCTCAAAACAAAATTCTGCCTAATTTTGATATACCTGGATTGATCTTCACTGAATAAGCCTCAGTTGACCAGGTTGACTCAATATGGCAATCAGTTAATCATGGCTAATAAAACACAATGACTGGTTTACCAATATGCTAACCAAAAGCAAAATAAATTCATCTGATGCTGACTGTATCCACATATAACTAAGCCCAGAATCTTCAAATAATTAAAGTACTTAATAACTTTATTGATTCTGATCCTCTTGGAATAATGAACCACTTGGGGAACTATGACAGTATGTCTTGCTGTGCTCTTAGCAGAGAAGAAAGACTAAGATGCCTTATGCCCTTAGGCATAGTTTGTTGGGTGTGTAAGTTTTATGCACAAACACTGTGCCAACCCCAGAAAATAATTGTGATCAAAATAATTCTACCTAATACACACACAGATGAATTTCTTTTGAATATATAATCTATCTTTCCGGCCCGGTTCCCATTGACTGGAACAAACTTATATTTCCAGACTATCAGATTCTGATCCTGATTGGTGAAGGGAGGAAGTCAAAAAAGTCAAGGTGGCAACTGCAAATAAACATCTAAGCCCTGCCCTTTTTTATCTGAAGAATGATTTTTTCATTCTGTTTTTAAGAAGTAAGTGCACTCGGTATGGTACAGTTCCAGTCCTTTCCATCTGCTGATGAAAAAGTATTCTCAGGATTTAATAATAAACTAGGCAACAAGGGCGAGGACAGTTGAAATAACATAGCAGTAACCAAATTCTGGTTTGTTTGTTTCTTTGTCTTGCTTTAGTTTAAGGCAAATGCTCATTTTCACAAGCTGTTTCTGGATGTCCCAATTGATGAACCTTTGAGACAAAGTAAGCAGAATGCCATTTTTTACGTTATGTTTTACTTTTGTAAGTCATGTTTTATACAGGTAATCCTTGTTTGGTAATTGCTTTGGATCGCCACCATTCACAAATATAACAGTAATAAACAGTAATAAAAATTCATTTTCCAATCAATGCAGCTTTTAGGACAGCAAAAAGCTTTCAGTGTAAAACTGTTTAAGGTCTGGTCAGTTTCAGGCAGAAGCTGCCAGTCTGCAGGAGGTTTCTAATTCACTAATTAAGTTCATAGATCTGAGTTTATTAACTTATCTTAGCGTTTTTTAGGATCATGCTCTTCTGCGGAGAAAAGCAACTCAATAAAGGATAGCTTGTTTAAACAACCTCTGCCAGACGGCAAAAAGGGAAGCAAAAAATGGTTCATCCACAGGACACAGTATAAGAGAACTTTATTTAAATAAGAAGGCAGCACTCAGTGATATTTGCAGCCTCTCTCTCTGTCTCTCCCTCTCTCCCTCTCCCTCTCCCTCCCTCTCTCCCTCCCTCCCTCCCTCCCTCCCTCCCTCCCTCCCTCTCTCTCTCTCTCTCTCTCTCTCTCTCTCTCTCTCTCCTTCTGTCAGTGATTTTCTTAGCAACCATTTTACCAGAACCAATTATTGTCCCTAAACAAGGGATACTTGGGCTATTTATTCCACAACTTGTGATATTAGGGTTATCAAGAGTTTTGCTTATGCCCAGTATAGTGGCTTCCTCTTTTGGCACACATATACACACAATATAGTTCTGGTTCATAGCACATTCTAATTGTGAGTTTGCTTTCTCATATAAAATCCCAGTACATGAGGTCTCAGGTACACCTCATTTAGTGACTGACTCATTTAGCAACTATTCAATTACAACAGTGATGAAAAGAGTAGTTTTGTGACAAATCCTCACATGTATGACTTTTACAGATCTGTAAAGCAAAAGAAAATTATAATAAAAGCATAAACAGAGTCTTGGTTTCACAGTGACTGCTTCACTTAACGTCCAAATTGCTGGTCCCAATTGTAGTCGCTAAATGAGACTACTGGTATTTACTATTGAATAGCTCTTTCTACTCAATATTTATATATCAAAATGTAGATTCTGATACAACTAGAATATTTTTCCAGACTTTGGGAAAGGGTTTTTCCCTCTCAGAAATACCTTTGAATTTGCAATATTTGTTTTAAGAAAATTATTTTAGACATATAGTGTGTGTTAGATACATTGCCTGGCCAGGCTGTACATATTCCCAGTTATATAACATTACTTATGTGATCTTTGTAGATTTTACCTGTGCCTTACAAAAAGAAATTGTATACCAAGGGAAGCTATATGTATCGGAGAACTGGATTTGCTTCAATTCCAAAGTCTTTGGCAAAGGTACCAAGGTAAATAAATATAATAAATATAAAATATTTAAATAAATAAAAATGAATATAGTATATTGGCCATGCAGGCAAGGATAGCCAGGAAAATAATTGAAGCCTGGGAAACAGGCCTCTTGTCAGTTAACAGGAATTTTGAATTAACATCAGCTTATCAAATACTTAGGAGCCAAAGGCTTGGCAGCAGAAATAAATGATAGCCAATCGCCAGCCATCAACACACCAATCAGCCAATAGAAAGGCACCACATAAACACGACTCACAGAACAGCCCAAAGCATGTATTCCAGTAGAGGAAGATGGGCTCCAGCATGAGTCTGAAAACTAGGAAGATTAAATCTCTGGTCCTGGTGACTGACCAAAATCGATCTCGCATCATTATCCTGGGACATGTATATTTGCCTTCATTCGTAAATAAATATAGTTCATGGTGTGTTAAAGTCCATTATACATGCCTAATTTTTAATCTCATATGTACACAGTTGATAGTTGCAAATGTTAATGCTACATTGCAGGGGTCCCCAACCCAGGACTGTGGCCCAATGCCAAGCCACAGCCCATTGGGAACCGGGCCTGCGGAAGTGGTGGGTGAGCACTGGAAGGTTTTAAGAAGAGACTGGACAGCCATTTGTCTGAAATGGTGTAGGGTTTCCTGCCTGAGCAGGGGGTTGGACTCGATGACCTCCAAGGTCCCTTCCAACTTTATTATTATTATTATTATTGTTGTTGTTGTTGTTGTTGTTGTTGACGCTGTTGTTATTGTTGTTATTGTTATTATTATTATTATTATCTCCCAACTATAATGTGTGTTTCTTGCTTTGTAACAAACTAGAGTTACATTCTGCCTTAGCATTATGTGAAGATGCAATTTGTATCTTTAGTTGTAAGCAAATCACAGTTTCTCCTCTGTGATTTTATTCTCAGAGAAATGCTCAGCTTAATTGCATTTTTAAAAATCCTTTCCTTCATGGCAAGTTTTTGAACTATTTATTTGGTTATAACATTGTCAGGAAGAAAACAAATACATGGAGTGCTTCCCAGCTGGATATAACCAAAATGAGATTTAGCTGAATATTTTGCAGCATTAGAAAACTGCTTAATTATATAGAATTTTCCCATTCGTTCCTTTTTATGACATTTTTAATCAA